CCCAGAGTAACATGTACCGTGAGGGCTTTTACAATGTCCCACACAAGACATGGCACTCGTAGTGGCAGGCTTTCTGCCTGTGACAGAGCAAGGTATATGCTACTCACTGTATGAGAAAGGGGCCGGGGTGTGGCTCAGTGGTGGGGCATGTGCCCAGCGCCTGCACGGCCCTGGGTGGGGACAAGCACGTGAGCGAGGACACCCCTCTTCTCTGCAGTCCTGGGTGATGTGTCCGATCCATGCATAATCATAGATCAATTAGGCAGGCGGTTGTGATGATGTGTGCCAACGTATTTTACCATTTTCTTTGAAAAGAAAACCTGTAAAACTTACAACTGGAATAGAAGCGAACGTTGACTACTGACAAGGACATACTTCCAAGCAGGTACAAAATATACATGTGAGATTGTTTGTGAGAAAAACCCGTCATCAATGTCTCACTACGGGCCTCAGGGCACCCACCTCCCCAATCCCAGAGATGGTCCATCCGCCCCAGTTCTCTTGGTCGGTCTGCTTGGCTTGAATGAAGCGAGCTCCTTAACACTCGCTGCTCTTCCCAGGCAGCCCCAGAGTCTCTTTCTGACCATGGAGCTAACACTGGAGAATCGTACACTTGTCGGAGTCAAGCAGCTGCCTGAATAGAGGCAGAAACTATGGGAAGACTATGTGAATTCGTGCCCAGTTTTCTCATCCCAGTTTTCTATCATCTTTGGTGGCATGAAGCTTTTTTGGACCAGTTAATATTTGGTTCAGCCACAAGTGACAGAAATCCAAGCCTGCTGACTTAAAGGGCTTAGGCCATTAATTTTCTTCCCTATAAATACTTCAGTCAGCCCTGGGCTAGAAGGAGGGCAGTGTGCCTGTGTTCCAGGAAGCCTTCAGTTCCTCTGATTCCTGAAGTACAAGCTCTGTTAGTCTGAAGGTGGCCCAGACCTGGACTGGTAGCCTTTGTATGCCAAGCCGCAGACTAGACCCAGGAACTGAAAAGAACGGCAAAGGCTGTGCCTGCTGCCTGGCTGGGACAGGCCCTGCAAGCTGCCTCCGCGCTTCCGCCGGTGTTTCCCTGGCTGGAGTGTGGCCACACTAAACTGCAAGGGGGGGCCGGGGAGATGGCTCAGTGGAATAAGCGCTTCCCTGGCCAGCGCAAGGGCCTGAGTTCAATCCCCGGTTCCGCAAAAAAAAAAAAAAAAAAAAATGCAGAAGAAAATAAATGGGGCAAGATGGCATGAAGATGTAAAGGACTGAGCAACAAATTTGGGGCCGGGGAGGTGGCTCAGTGGAATAAGTACTTCCCTGGCAAGCACAAGGGCCTGAGTTCAATGCCCGGTTCCACCAAAAATAAATAAATAAATAAAATAAATAAATAAATAAACTGCAAGGGAGGTTGGGAGGCGGGGTCTGCTTGCCTGCCGAGCAAATGTGGTGAGACAGTCGTCTGTGCCGGGAACATGGCTGTCAGTGCACCTTCCTTTTGCGTTCTCACGGGGCTGTGGTCTCAGTCGGTCACGTCTTGTAGCTGCCTGCGAAGCAGAGGGTTCCTTGCAGAGTCAGGCACAGGCAGTTAGGAAGGTGTACCTGGAGCCCCTCTGCTTGAGTTTGGGTGTGGGGTTTCGCAGATGGAAAGAAGAAATGCTAGTAATGTCTCCCTTCTGGAGCTGCTGTAGTGGTGAAACAGGATTCCGCATACATTGGCCGCAGTATGTAGCACTCCAGAAGGGTCCGATTGCTGCTCTTACTCCTTGTTGTGGGAAGTGTCGAGTAAGACGTTTTGAGCCCCCAGATGCATAGAGCGTGTTTGCAGGAGGCATTCACTTCCCAAATATGACTCAGAGCGGTTTTCATTCGCAACTGCATTTTTCTGCTTTTACACTGAGGTGTTCATGCTTAGTTGGGGATAAAGCTTGATCCTGACAAATGATGTGGATGAGTTCCTGGAATTCGCTGAGGGACCTGCGCGTTTCACTGACGTCTCTCTGTAAGCGCTGACTTAGTAGCATTAGTTTTGGTGTAAAGTGCATCTTCTGTAAGACATGATGGGACCCTCCTTCCTCTGGCTGTGGCAAAGAGGGATTGGGGCGCACATCAAGAGGAGAAGGCCTTCCCGGACCAACCTCAGGCGGGTGGAGGCCAGAAGCGGCCCTGTGCGCTGGGACTTGTCTCTCAAGGCCACACAGCCCCGGGCTGCAGAGCACAGGTCGATACAGATGCGAAAGGTGGCCTACACATTCAGAAATGGTGATGGGAGAGGCGGGTGGATAAAAACACAGCTTACTAGTGCCACGTGGATGTGACAGTTATGATCACCGAGAGCTAAATTAGTTGTATTGAGCTAACTTTTGCTAACTCCTAAATGTTCTTTTGCTTCTCTTTTTCTTTCCCTCTCTAAGCCCCCTCTCTGTTGTATGGCTTTTCTTTTGTAACTCCTCCAGACTACAGCTTTGTTCCCCCCTCTTCCGCTCCTTTCTGGTCAGGTACTGCTTTATGGCTTTTATATGTCTCCCCAACATGCTTCTGTTTGCCAGCGAGATCCTTTTTCCTCTGTGTGTGACTTCCCATATAGCTGCGTCCCTCGCAGACAGTCCCTAGAGCACCATCACCACCATGCGCTTGACTCTGCTCTGTCTTATAGTCACTGTGTGTCGTGACATCCCACCTTGTGTGTGTGTGTGTGTGTGCTTGTGCCACATACATCAGTAACGCATTTTATAATGTGTCTGGGGGTAAGAGGCTGGGGTGGGACAGGCTGAGAGTGGAAAGTCAGATGAAGTACCGTGCAAAGTTCACGTTGGAAGGACGATAAAGCTTAGTTGAGGAAAGGCAACAAAGAACTAGAAAATATGAAGAACCAAAGCCCAAACTTGATCTCCAAGTAGAAGAGTAAAATCTAGTACATAGAGCTTGAAAGAACAACAGGTGCCAGGGGCTCTGCCACTCTCCACTCATGTCGGGCATCTTGGCCTCCGTCCCTTGCATTAACTGGGGAGTTTAGTGGCTGTTTTGGTGGCACGGAGCGCCTACTGGTGAGGTAAAGTATGTTTTCTTACAGGTTTTAAAGAATTGCCCTGTAAGTCCCAGTGGAATTGTAGAATTTTGGAAAAGATATAAAAAGTCAGCGAGGGCAGAGCTCTCATTTTTTAGATGAGAGAGAGTGGCCTGCAGGAGTTAAAGGCCCATGCAGGTCGGGCACCCGAGCTGCTGGTTGGCGCTTCCATTACTGGCATTCTCATGTGCGCTGATTCTCAGAGCAGCACCCAGAAGTCCCAGAAGTGGGACGGTCTTCAGGAAGCCATGAAAGAGGTTTGTGTCCCCAACAGTAAGATAAAATGGCCTGAATCAGTTCTGAAATCTGTGGCCTTTGTATTCACTTATTTCATGATCGACATTTGGGGACCACATAAATTTCTGTCATTACAGAACCATAAATTATAGGCCCAAGACTCCTGTCCCCAAGGGTGCAGACGTTTCCAGGGTGACACAGCCACAGCTCCCTAGGTGCTAGGAACTGAAAACCGCAAATGGATGGTGCTCCCCATTGGTCCCTTTCTCTGGCACCCATTGAGTATCTGTAAGTCCTGCCACCCTCAGAGGAGGGATTCTCAGATTCGCTGAGCATGTAATTGAAAACCTTTTAGGGGCTGGGGAAATAGCTCAGCGGGGTGGCAGGTGCAAGGACCTGGGTTCAATCCCAGAACCGCATGCCCTACCCGCCCTGAAGCCAGGCATGCTGGTCCCGAAACTGGGCATGGTGGTGCGTGCCTATAATCCCAGCACTAGGGAGGCTGAGACAGGAGGATCACTACGAATCAAAGCTGCATAGCAAGACTCTGTACCAAATAAATAAAAGACTTTAAAAAAAGAAAAACACTTTAGAAACCCAGAGAGCAACAGGTAGGGAGGTTAATATGAAGTGTGTTATGAGCCACTGGAGACTTGGGGCGGGTACAGCCTGAATAGTGCTCTCCTCTTGATCAGGGCCAGCGCCTCTCGGCTGTCAAAAGTTCTGTAACAGGGCCAGCCAGATAGCTCAGTGGACTAAAGTGCCTGCTTAGGCAGAGCACAGCAGCCTGGGTTTGATCCCCCACATGCCGTGCGGACCCCACTGCCGGGGCGCACTGAGACTGGCAACTGGGACTGGGTGTGATGACATGCAACTGTAATCCCAGTGCTTGGGAGGCTGGACACAGGAGAATCACTACAAGTCCAATCTACCCTGTAGACCCCGTAGACCCAGTAACGAATACGTTTAAAAAAAAAAAAAAAAAGTTCTGTAATAAGCAGACAGCAGGCACCTAGCATGTGAAATCAATACCCTTACATGTACCTAGCTTTTGATTAAATATTTCAGTAAGTTTTCCATGAGGCAGTGTTTGTGTTCTTGCTATGAGACCTGCTCACACTTCTTCACGTGATTGACTGTACACACGTACACATATGTGCACATGCGCATACTGACACATGTATACTTGTGTATATAAGTTTAGAGTAAAAAGATTGGTTGGAAAAAAACACCACCAAATTAGATGTGAAGACGCCCACTTGACAGAGTTGCACAAGAGCACAGAATGTAGTTGTTTTGAGTTTAAGTCCCGGCAGTTACCAAACAGAAGAAAGCTTCACCTCAGAGGTTCTAATTAGAGATAGAGTACTGGGCCATCAGTAGGAAGTGCTTGCTAACTTAGTGTAGATTGTCTTTTAGAGAGCAATTTAGATATAAACTAGTTGGGTTTAGATTTTGTTTTTTGACAAAATCTAGTCCCTATTTGGAAGTTTGTATGAAGAAAGTGGAAATAGAGCAGGGGTTCTTTAAACTTTATAAAATGAATCTGCCTGCACGTGACCCAATTGAAACAGCGCTCCTGCTGCTTTCAAGCCCTTGCCATTGTCACTGGTCCGCAGTGAAGTCGTGGCTGTGCGTCTGTCCATCAGTGATGTTCCTCCGCTCAGGCTCGCGGGCGGCTCTGAGCAGAGCCCGTGTCGACGCTGCCCCAATGTCTTCACAGTGCTGAGTCCCAAAGTGCTGGGCATTGCCATCGCTCGGTACGACTTCTGCGCGAGGGACATGCGAGAACTGTCCTTGCTGAAAGGCGACGTGGTGAAGATTTACACGAAGATGAGCGCCAACGGCTGGTGGCGAGGAGAAGTGGACGGCAGGGTGAGTTAGGGCCCCGGAGAACCCGGCCTCCAGAGGCGGGCTCTAGCCTCCTCGCCAGGACCAGGCGCTCGCTGAAAGTGGCTTGGATGCATCCTGCCGCAGCCCGAGTACAGCGCCCTCCAGCGAGCTTCATGGGTGCCTGATGCGAGAAGAGCTGAGAAGCGTTTCAGTTCTTTTTAGAACCTGAGTTCAGGAGCGCACACTTTATGGGTCGTGCCAGCTATCTCTAAGAGCTGCTGATCGCAGTTGGAAAGAATGGGAGGGAGGGCCCCTGTCTTTACATCCTAGGGCAGAAGGAGCGGTCCTTATGTAGCTGAGGCCTGCACGACACTTAATTTACATATTTATTAGCATGCTAGTGGATTAGAACTCCGTTGAAGCTTATTTTATTCCTCCATTTCTATCATTCACTCTATTAAGCTTTTAAGAGCAGTTAAACCTATCTTCCTCACCTACAGCAGGCATAAACCTCAGCTTAATTGGGGTGTTAGGAAAACGAAGTGCTCTGTTTGTAGAAGCCTTTGAAGTGCCCGATGCAAAGTCATGTTGCTTTGTCGGCTGCTCTTCTTTTCCAGGTGGGCTGGTTTCCATCCACGTATGTGGAAGAGGATGAATAAATTCCAATCCAGCATCGTACCCTGCACCAAAAATCTCCGAGAACGAATAAACAGAGACTGCAAAGCATTACGAATTACCTGAAGTGTTTAAAAAGCTGCATTTCTGGCTGTTCAACGTCCTCCCTCCCTTTCCCCTCCTAAGTCTTAATGCCGGGATTTCTAAAGACGCTGGTACTGACAGATTAATGGCTTGCCTAGAGCCCTGCAAGAAAAGGCCTGCCCATCTGTCATTGTCAGGGACCAGGGCAAGGCCAGCAGCTTTTCTTCCCAAAAGAGCCCTGCAAACACATCCATTCAGGGTTCTCTTTACCTCCGTTGGGTCAGATACCCTGAAGGACAGCCGCTAGTAAGTGCTTAATGTGTAGCTTATTTTCATGTGCCATTCGCCGGAATGTTTGATGGTACAGAGAAGCAGAGGCTTAATTTTGCTTTGCCTAGCATGAAAAATAAATAAATAAATAAGAGTATCGCCATTTGGAGAAACGCCAGCCCGCTGGAAGGATTCAGCACTACTTGTCACAAATTGTCCAACAGGTGACTCACTGCCTAGCAAATAATTTCACCCCCAGATGTTACTCGTGATAAAATATAAAAGACAAGCGCTTGGGTTTGCGTCATAAGAGAGAAATCCCAGAAAGGTTTGAATTACTTGTCTGATGCTCTGATTATATTTGTACACTCCTTTTTTACAGAAAGCGGGGATAAAGCACATGGCAGTTGTCTTCGTATTAAATTTGACAGCCCTCAGGAGCCATAGGGGTATTTTGGAAATGTAGTAGTTAATGAATCTTTTGGGTAGTTTCCCGTAACCTGAGAAGGTGGCATTGTTTACAAAGCAGGTCAAGGGTTATGATCCGTAGTAAATTTTATGGCAGAAACATCTGTAGACATTGGCCTTTTCCTTCCCCCTGGACAGACCTGGAACGTATGTGTTGAATCCTTTATTTTCATAGAGTACCTTCATGAGCACAAACAAGTTTGTGGAGGAGTTTGGAAGGAAAGCAACTGGGGTCCTTTATGCATTTCAGGGACAGAAAGGGGGTCACTGGGCCTCTGTGGACTTGCGCCCTTGCTGAGCCTCCCCTCTGGCTGGCCTTTCCGGGCACATGTCGCCTCGCTGGAGGTGAGTTTGCAGTGCATTCGTTTTGTTGGGCCTTCCTGTTTCTGTGTGAGGGGCTCGGGACGCTCCTCCTGGTGCGCCCGGTGTCTCCCAGCCAGGCTGTTGAGACACTGACCTGCGCTTTCCTGCTGAAGTGTTTCATCGGGTGGAAGCGACGTCCTGAAAAGATGCAGAAAGCGTTGTGTTTGGGACAAGCAAAAATTCGAAGCATTAACTGCGTAGAGCCAAACGGGGAGCGCTGGGCTCCGAGATCGCAGCTCCTCCCCAGCGAGGTGGCCGAGCCTGCCCCCTTCTGGCACACGTGGGGTCAGAACTTGATGTTTGGTGGTCGCACGCTTCCTGCTAGAGACCCTCCCAGGCTAGGACTTCTCATCTAGAATAGACTCAAGACCTTTACCTCAGAATTATGTAAACTGTGATTGTCTTTAGAAAAATTATTTGCTGAAATCAGTTACGTTTTTGTAAATGTGTAAATGACCATGCAAATGTATTTTATAAAATGTTCTGTACAGTAGAGTTACTGCACCGAGGCGAGCTGCTGGAGCGGGTTCCTTCTGTAAAGTCTTAACTGTGTCTCGGGACTGAGTCTGTTCCATCAGCCAAGTGTAGGTACAGAGAGTGCAGCTTCCAGCAAGCCGAGCCACTCTGTGATGCTGGTGCTGCAGCTCACAGCGTCCCAACAGACTCCTGCTCATCAGCAGACTCCTCCCTTCCCGACGGTGTGTGGTCCTCGTGTTGAGTCTCAGTGGGCTGGAGGTTTCATAGCAGATGATGTTAGATCCCCATTTTCTTGACATGACCTGTTACATCTTTGTCTACGTTTAATACTTTGTATTGGAAACTTTAAATGCTGCAGATTTGTGTAGATTTCTAATACCAAAGACAGAAGTAAATGTTTTTCATATACTTTGTCTTGCCTGTATGCAGCCCTTATGTAATATGGTGAATTAGAATGGTATTGTGCTTTGTAATATTTTGTAAATATGTCAATACAATAAATAGTTACTACTTGCATTTGGTTGATTTCTTCTTAAGGGTTGAAGAGTCTTCCCATAGAATGATCCTAGAATTCACATACGCCAGCCTCCTAATGGAAAAGCAAGCTGCGATTTGGTTGGATGTTTCTCAGGAATGCTAAATAGTGGACAGTGGACTTTAAGATGAACTCAGTACTGGCCAGTGGTACCTGTTGACAGCATATAGCATGCTGAGGTCTGTTCTAAGGGTCTCACGTGTGCTTACAGTTCCGTGATTCCTGGATCGTCTGTGAGGTGATCACCCTCATCACCTGCAGTCTGTGCTGGACCCTCTCCCCGCACCTTGGGCCGCCCCCCACCACTCCGCAGTGCCTCCCCCCCCCCGGCCTTTAGCCTGAGAGCACCGCCTAGGTGGCGCAGGTATTCGGCCTTCTACTGAGTGATCCGTGTGTGTGTGTGTGTGTGTGTAGTTAGTCCTGAGCTGCCCTGCTTTGTTCTACCTGTTTTCTGGACGTCAGGAAGAGCGAAGGAAGTGTCAGGAGCTGACTGGGTGCAGATGGCACCTGCAGTGGGCAGGGCCCATGCACGGCTGCCATCACCAGCCCCCTTCTTAGGGCAGGAAAGGCTCACCTGATGGCTGAGACAGGGCCACACTTGCTCATTGTCATTACTGTCGTGGCCAGATGTGTTTGGGTAGCTGCCATCTGAAATTTTAATTCCTTGAGCTTACTTCAATCTCATTAAGGTGAAACACTGTAGATTCTAAATCAGCCTCCTTAGGAAAGGAATTAAATTATTTGGTACCAAAGGAAGAGGAAGAGTTTCAGCATCAGTCAGACCTGGGTTCAAACCCTACTCTGCCACTGATCTTTCTGAGCCTCAGTTTCCTCAGCTTCTGTAATAAAGGAATAATTACAAGTTCCTAAGAGAGCTGTCGTGAAGAATGAACGTAAAAGTGCATCTTGTACAGAGCCTGGAGCGTAGCAGGCCCTGGAGAAAGTTGCTCTCCCTTTCATGAATTGTAAATAGGTACCCAGGCACCAAACTCAGTGCTTGGAGGCTGTATTTTGAATGCGGTTGAGAGCTTATGCTTTCTTACCTATGGTTGAATTTTTAGCATTCAAATTATATGCAGAGTAAAAGGCATACATTCAGGAAAATTAATATGCAAACCCACAAACAATCTCAGAAGTCAAATTTAACAGCTCCACATGATTTTAACTAGGAAAATGGAATTTTCACATCAGTCGCTTCATTTTTCTCTGAAACTGGTTTTCCGGGACTAGCTGGACTCTGATTAGAAATGTTCGTGCACCTGTCTGGTGTGGCAGACTTTGGAAGGCACCTAATTTTAAGTAATGAACATGTTCCAGCATGGAGGTTAAAAGCAGTCCTCCCACAACGTGCCGTTGATTAGACCAGACTGAGCAAGACAGTGGCAGGAAAACAGAAGAGCTCCTTTCGAAGCACCCTCACTGACTCTTTTCAGAAGCTTCCAGAATCTCTAGGCACAGTGGGACTGCAAACAGTGACTCAGGTGCACGGCCAGATGGCGAGATTCCTTGTTGCCAAAATAGATGCATAAAAAGCTGCCTCGAGACTGGGCTCTCGGACACTTGAGTAAGAAGGGTGAGCTTCAGCCTGGCCACGTGGCGGGCCCCCATCTAGGTTGGTCAAGGTCCTGCGGACGGCAAGGACCGCCGGCGAGGACCAGCTTCGCGCCCGGGTGCCCCGGCTGCCAGTCAAGCGTGCCTTACATTTCCTGTGGCACTTTCTGGTTTTCCAGTTACTCTCAGTGCATAAGGCTTTCCTTCTGAAATCCTTCTGGGGAGCTGCAAGGGTCCTAATCAGGTGGCGATGTAGTGAGGTCACTGTCGCACGCCTCTCTCTGTCAGCAGCTGTCAATGAGTTTTACGTGCCGGGGGAGCTGGTGCTGCCCAGAATCTGCTCAGGGAAGGCTTGAGGGTTTTCTAGTGAAGGCAGTGAGCTCTTCAAAGGAGGGGCAGGTTGATTTTTGACTCCACAAAGTTGCCCCCCTCCATGATAATTGCTACTTGTCTCCTTTTTTCACCTGAAAATTCTTTTTTTTTTCTTTTTTTTTCTTGTATATGCCAGGTTGCGTGCTAGGTGTTCGTTGTATATTATTTCATTTATCTCATCCTTTGGAGAATCCCTCGAAGATTTCTCTCATTTCATTTTACTTTATGTTATTTTATTTTGCTTGGTCTTTTTGAGACAGGGTCTCCCTCTGCAGTTCAGGTTGGGCTTGAGATCACTTTGCAGCCCAGGATGGTCTTGAACTCACAGCAATCCTCCTGCCTCAGCCTACTGAGTGCTGGATTACAGGCATGTGCCGCCACACCTGGCTTGGTATCTCATATTTTAATCATAAAAACTGTATGGATAGGTAAGTAACATTTCACATGGGCATTAGTTTTGAGGCTCTTCACCCTGTTCCATTCTCCCATATGACCTGTCTTGGTCCAGGTTCAGCTTTAGAACCTGCTTACCCTGGCTCTGCCACTTGGCAGTTGCCTGCCCCTGGGAATGGTGCTTACCCTGCTTGTTCTGCTTTTCCAGAGTTATGTTGGGATAATGACTGCGCCTCACTGTAGGGTGGGTTTTTGTTGTTGTTGTTGTTGTTGTTTTTTAAGGATTAGATGACATAATATATGTAAAATGTTTAGAAATGTCTGAGGGAGAGTAGACATTCAGTGAAAAAAGAGTTTCTAAATTGTGTTTTGGCCACCAGTAGAGATATACACACAAAAGTCAATGCTACAACTTTAGAAAGTTAGCTCGGATGTGACAAATAAGCTTCCCATCCACTGGTATCACCATCCCCAGGACGGTGGAGGTGGCACAAGGTGTGAGCTTACATCTTCTTGCGGGTACCGACCCAAGCCATAAATGGGTGTCTGAGGTGAGGCTGCAGTGCTCAGATAAAGAAATACAAACGGCAAATAACTGCACGAAAAAATGTTCCATGTCATTGGTCTTTGAGCTATAAAATAAAAACAACGCTGAGATTCTGTCTGACCCTGGAAAGAATGGTATCATCAAGAAGCCATCCAATAACAGCTGCTGGAGGGGCTGTGGGGAAAAGGAGCCCTTCTCCGCTGTGGGTGGGGGTGCAGGCCAGTCCAGCCACTGTGGGGATCAGTGTGGGGATTCCTCAAAAGCCAGGATTGGAGGGCCCATTCGGTCTAGCTTCTTCTGCAAGATACCCAGAAGAATTTAAGACATCGCACCGCAGTGATCTGTGTGCACCCATGTTTATAGCAGCACAATTTGTTGTAGCTAAATTTTGGAAACAACCCAAATGCCCATCAACTGCGGATAAAAGAGATGTGTTTTTAATTTAATGAGGCACTACGCAGCCATAAAGAAGAATAAATGGAGTATTTCACAGGTAAATGGATGCAACTCAAGACCACACTCATAAGTTGAATACCAGATCCGTATGTGTGAATATATTGTCTCCCTAGTGTGAGATGATGAACGAGTAAATAAGATCAGAAATGTACAGGACATACTGTGAATTGAGAAGGAAGTGTTCAAGAGAAGACACTGTGATGGGGGGAAGGAGAAAGGAAGAAAGGGGAAAAGGGGAACATATACCCGATAGGGAAGATAATTGCACAGCTGGTTTCTTCTAGTTCATGAAAAGAAAGTTTTGTGCTA